AAACAAATTCTCCTTGTCAGCAACTAAGGAAACATAGAGGGAACAATATGGAGGATATGCCTTCTTATGTTAGGGTGGTAAAGGGTTAATTTGCTTTGCCCCTCTTAGTCAGTGACTTACACTGCCCTCTAAGCCAATCAGGTGCAAGGCTAAAACTAGTGAAGACCATTGGTGAATTCAGTTTCAAAGGGTAAGAATAGATACTAGAAAAATATTAATCAGAAAACTCTAATCTAAACAAACTCTATGTAGTAAAGGAAAGGGAGACTGATGCACCATGCATGGGAATGCAATGTTTCATGTTTGAACCTACAGGTTTTTTACCACTTTAGCAACTTCTGCAAATACAAATTCTAAAGAAAGTTAGGCACACAGAGAACCTTAAGGGTTTGATTGCATTAGCTAAATTTAGGAATGAATCTTCCTCCAAAAAAAAAAAACAACTGTCTTAATTATTCTTAAATATCTTCTTTAATTGCATCCTAAGAATTGAAAAAAAAAATTAACTAAAGATAAATTTCAGATTCAAATCAGGTAACAAGGGCTGAACTAATAACCTGGAGCCAAATAAGGATAGTTACTTTTTCAACATTTGAAAATAATGTGCATCATAAATTTTAAGTATGAGATATAACTTAATCAAACAGGATCATCTGGTGGAACTTTTGTTTGCTCTGAATATTTTGAAATTCCAATGATACCACAAGCTAAACAAGCACCACTGTTTCCAGTTGTAAGACTCAATTCATGTCCTCCTATTCCAAGATCATCTACACCTTCACAAACCTGCCAGTGAGAGATAAAAGAGGAATTTCCTAATTATATGAATACCAGTACAAACCCCAATTATGGCAGGATTAATGATTTAAGGGGGTAAGTTTCTAATAAAAGAAACTTTGTCACTGAGCCATTGGGAGGTATAATTTACACAGGGTTCTGGCACATTTTCAGGAACCCAATTCAAGGACTTTCAAGGACTTTTTACTAGGTCATTTTCAAGGACCTTGGCTCTAAAATTCAAGGACCATTTGCATTAAAGAGGAGCTAATAGCAATATAAAAAATATTCCACTTTATTGTTTGAAGTAACAGATAAAAGTCCAACGAGCTTGACCCCAAGCATGCACATCAGAGTGATCATGTGCTATGTAACCAAGATTATTTTCAATGCACCAATCAGGTAGGAAATATATAAAAAGCATGTGTCAAACATCATAATCCGGCACAGGATTTGAAAGGAAAACTCATTTCCATGATTTGTGCTAGAAACTTACACTAATTTCAACACTGAAAACAAAAGAAAACTTCAACTTTGATTCATCTGCACTTATTTTCAAGGACTTTTCAGAAATTTTCAAAGACCTGTGTCTAAATTCAAGGGTTTTCAAGTCCTTGAAAACAAAAAATTAAATTCAAGGACTATCAAGGAGTGTGGGAACCCTGATTACAAGATAATTTGACTTAATCTACTGAGTTGGTAACAAATTGGTAAACCTCAACAAGTTTCTAAACCTGACATTTTAAGTATTTGCCCTTTGTCAGAGCAAAATTCTAACGCAGCTTTAGAGACTCTTTACTCTGGCCAATGTTCATTATCAACTCAGTTGATAAAATCAAATTATCCTTTGAAAAGATTAAGAAAGGCATCGAAAACTTTTAGCCTACAATGTTTGTTTGGCCATTTACTCTGTTGGGATTTTTCACTGTTTCTTGTATACAAGATCAAGAAAAGGCACCTTCTTCAACACTAGGGCCACCTTAACTATTATTAATAATATTTGTTTCATGAATTAAAAAAAACTTTCTTATAATTGTTTCTACAAGTTATACAAAATGTATCTTTTAAATACTCAATCTGTTTCCTGAGTAGTTTGCTTTTGTTTTTACTGTTAAGTAAATGCCTATAATGTACACGTTCATGCCAATTTTAAATTGTCTGTGGCAGTGGCCAACTCGAAAGCTCAAGCTACTTTGGTCACTGCCCACATTTTGCTTTTCACTACTTGGGAAATTTAGTTTGCCTATGTCTCTCCTTTTAAATGTACTTTAATTTAGAAATAATTATTTGTGAATAGTGCAAAATCAAATAAAGACTTAAAAAGACTTAAAGGGGGTGCTAGAAGAGGGAGAAAGAAATGCATTCATGTATACCTATAAATTGTTTGTATATTTGCTAGTGTTTTGAAGTCCTGAGAAACTTTGCTCTGAGAAAACAGCACTGACCTCCAAGGTGCGACCTATCACTGAATATTCCCCTGTTAATGACACTACACTATCAGTAAAGTTGACCTCTGCCTGTCCTTGGTCATTGGCTTCAATGTTACCAAGGTCCCCAACATGTCTGCTACATCAAAACAAGTAGTAAAAGAAATATCAATAATGGTAATTGCACTGAATGGAGTGCAATTTGTATAGGTAATCACATGATTTCGAGTGCAATTTGGAATAAATAAGCACGAGTAAATTTTTTCAAAGACTAACAAAATTGCACGAGCCCGTAGGGCGAGTGCAATTTGTGGTCTTTGAAAAAATTTACAAGTGCTTATTTATTCCAAATTGCACGAGAATATGAGGTAGCTTCTCATAACTACACAGAAGAAAAGCGAGCGCATCACGTGTAAAAATAATTTATTCAAACCCTGCAAGTGACATTGACCTTGACATTGACCTTGACATTGACCAATCATTCTGACCAATCAGAATGTCTGCTTTGTTTCTTTCTTTGCACTGAATTAACTCTCTCCTGCACTGAATTAACTGAAAACTGCATTCATCTTAACCAATCAGAACTGAGAAATATTTTCATGTATATTATTAGGGCTGAAATCATACGTGTGGTTTCAAAATTGAACAAGCGTGCAGCGCGAGTTTGATTTGAAATTGCAAGTATGATTTCTGACCAAAATTGCATGATATGAGGTTCAATGACCACTTTATTAAATCCATTTTGAAATTACCCAAATACAGGACTTGGTCAATTCAGATATTTTCTTGATGCAGTAATGAGGATTTTTAAATAAAAAGTGGAACCAGAAATGCTTTTACATCTTATTTTGTATGCAAAACAGAAGACTTTGACATCAGGTGTCAAAAACTCAGTCAAGCGTAAAATGATGTGATTTAGAGCAAAAAATGGTGCGATTCGTGAATCAGATTACAGGGATCACCATTGATTTCAAAATGGATATAATAAAAACAATCATTATTAATAACTTTTGAGTCAAACCAAAATTAAAGTTTCTTTTTCAGAGCTATTTATAGCTTCCCAAAGATTCAACCTAATGGACACACTGTTCCTGACCATGGACAACTTCCATTACCACAGGGGAGTTATTTTTTCATTATTTTTCTTCTAGTAGACTACAAATGATATGGGATTTGCTAAAAAGAGGTAACCATGGAGAGAAGGTGGCATTTATTTGCTCAAAACCCACCTAGATTTTATTCACAGAAGTAAAGTGCATGACCATGTGCATGCCTCTGTGTAGTTAACCCTATAACTCCCAAGATCTGATTGTGAATTCTCCCCACTAGCTGCTACACATTCCCTTGTAAATTCGTTATGAGAATTTGATGTTCAATTGAGGTAATGAATGGGATACTATAGGGAGAAGTTACATGTTAATCACTTCTAGGACTAAAGGGTTAAGGATCATTCATTTGGAAATTCTGACCTGTTGTTGTCTTCTGGTCCACCATGAGTCTTGTTATGTGGATTAAAGTGAGCGCCAGCACTCTTACAACCTGAAATTTAAATTATAATTAATGCAAAAGTTACCAAAACATATATTTTGCAAACCTAGTCCAAAATCACATTCAATGCTAAAAATTCAAATGGTATAAAAGCACCCTGAATACTTTCTAGCTGATCAAAATATGAACCTGGTAAACAAGCTAATTTGCCATGGATTTCTTTGTAGTTTAGCTGATAGTGCATTAATTAATTAACATGGTATCTAAACTGGCTGAGGTTTGAATCCTCACTGGAGACTCATATTTTTCTCTGTCTAACTTTGGTTAAAAAAGTTTAACACCTTTCTATAAAATCTATTGCAGCAGGAATTATGAATAAGAACCCCACCACCGATGGCTTTTGGTTTGAGGCCTTCCTACCCCCCTCCCCCGTCTCAAGCTTCAGGAAAATCAAAGTATGCCATACATTTTTTAAAAGCTTGTGCTTCAACAATGACCCTATTTCCCTTTAGGATTTCTCTCCTTTGAGTGGAAATTGAATTTCCCAAGAGCCAAATAAAATATCTGAGCAACATATTTGTACCATGAAAGCAATACAAGTGAGAATTTTTCAAACCAAAATTTCAAACCTTGTGAAATATCCCCAAATTCTAGAATATGGATGCCATGATGCCCCTCTGTCAAACCCTGTAGCATTCCCTTGATTACACACGGCCCACCAGGTTGCTTGGATATAAGATAAAACATCTAATCAGTCAATAAGTTCACAATTCACTTCAATTCTTCAATTCTGCATGGAATATTGACATTGCCCGATTTTCCGATGTGATCTTTTTCATTACTCCATTTCAGTTGATTTTCCAGCGGTATCAATGCATTTCATAACTAATTTCGCTTTTGTGAATTTCTAGGTAAGTTAATGAACTTTTAATTAATTGACTATAGGTGAGCTTACGAGGTAAACTCCCAAAAACTTGTTTTGACGCAATTCGTACGCATTCAAATACTATCTCTGCACGTCATACAAGTCGACAAAATTCAACACTGCGCTTAGGTTGAGCACTGAGGTAAGCAGTGCCACTAACAAAGCTTAAAATTAAGCCTCTGTAATCTTACTTGAATGGGTTTCTTGGATGGGCGAAGAGACGTCTCGCCGTCCGAATTTAATTAGCTACATATTCACAACTGGTGCTAATTAGTTGGCCGTGTGAATGAATGTGTTCTTATCATGATCTTTTACCCCACGTTTTCTACAGAACCCTCTCAAGAATCCTTGAGAATACCAAAAGAATTTTTAAGCCGACAAACAATGTTTATTTGACATAGGATAGGTCATCTTGAATAGTGAAGCCACTTCAAACGAAAATCTCACCTCTTGTAAAAATGTGATTGTTCCTTGGATGTCACCAGCTAAATGGCATACTGCACGAGCCATAACCAGGAGGAAAATCGATCTTTTGCAAAGAAATAGATTTTTTAAAACACAATTTCCCAAAGACCGCGAAACTTGCAAAACAATAATCTTGTCGCATCGATACGCGCGTGTAAAAACAAACCGCTGACCCCATAATAAATCCTAACCTAACAGGAGGGGGTAGGGGGAGAAGAGGGGTGCAATGGAGCAAACGAGATACCTGGGTCAACTCATCGGAGATTTTGTTCAAATCACATCATCATTTAGAATTTAGAGTGCTATAAACGATGAGGAAAGCCTTAATGAATGTTGTATCCGCAAGTAACTCATGTAATCAAATTAACTATTGTTTACATTCAAAATGTGAAATTTAATTAACCGGCATCTGGCTTTTAAGGAACTGATACAGTCCTAAATGATGTTTTTGTTCTCACTTAGGCATATGGCGAGGATGTCATTAACTAATTAAATGATTTACAGACAAACCACATGCAAAATAATGGTTGAGGCAAGTATCAGCCTTGATCAAAAAAAGGAATCCAAAAATGTAAATCACAGCTCAGTACTGGAAAATACTGAGACTCTCCTCCCCTTTTCATAGCTTGGGTAGTGAGAACCCACTAAATGTTTCACAGTGTTCTTGTTTTTTAAGACCATATGAGATTTAGGAGATAATTTGTCCTTCATAGCCAAAGAAGTCTTCTTGGAAAGCTATATACAGTGTCAATTCCTTAGAAGAAAATTGGTTACAATCTTAGGGGTTGACTTGTCACAATTGATGTGGAATTTTTCCCAGGTCCCCTTATAAATGCTGCTAATAAAAAAATTCTTACTGGAGAAAACTAAGTGTGGAAATAGCCAACAAAACTGGTTGCATGTCAATCTCCTTCCCAAAGGTTCCATTGCTCTGATCCCTTGGGGGAAGGTAACATCTTTGAGAAAGGTGGCACAAGTGTTGTCTACCTGACATCAACAAGACTTGAAGAAAGTGGTAAGTTAGCTTGAATAAAGAGAGTACGGTAAGCATTAGACCAAGTTGAAAATTGAAGTTTAAATTTATTGACACTTGTGTGTCTGATTTTAGTTAATACATAGATTCTAGTTCGAAAGCACTTCCATCTTTCAAAGCAACAAGCTTTCCAGTCGTCAAACTCCTGCTGAATTTGTTTAAGGAGTACTGTTTACTTAGTAAGGCCAATAACACCACAGGCAAGACGTGCACCAGCGTTTCCAGTTTTCAGACTTTCATCATTACCACCTTTCCCCAAGTCATCTTGTTTTGCATGTACCTGATTGACAAGGTAAATAAAATGAAAGAAGTGTTTAATAATAATATATGCAACTCAGATGTGTTATTTACCAAGAGCAAGTTACCGGTAAGTGGAACCTCTCCTTACAATATCTATCTATTGTCCAGTAAGGTGATGTGAAGTAAGAAACTACCTGGTCAAACACTTAGTTCTTTTGAATGAAGGGAAAAATTAAGTTTCTAAAGAAACAATGGTGCTGCATTAATGGGGTATTTAAAGCTAATTTGGTTTTATCAACTGAGTTGATATCGTGAGTTGGCCTCCATGCAGAGGTCATACAGCAGATGTTTTGAGTCAGCTCTCACAAAGGCCTAATGCTCAGCTTTATGAACTATCTACAGTGGTCAGTTCGCATTATCAACTCAGTTAATACAACCAAATTACTCACAATGAGGAAATGTCTTACAGCAAGGGCTAATTTCACATTTGATCTCACTTTAATTTCACTAGTGATCTCCTTTATGGAGGAGCACACTTTTCACAGAGGTTACAGTATATTAATGTACTGTAATGTACATTACTGTACATTACTTTTTTTTTTTCCTCATACAATGAAAGGCATGAATATAAAATTTAAAGAAATACTATCTTAGGTACTGCTGAAGTTGGTTTACCTACCACAATAGTACGTCCAACAACAGAATCTACTCCAACCACTGAAACGAGCTTGTCCCTTATATCAATTTTGGCTACACCATCAGGTCCTGCTGTGATGTTACCAAGATCACCATGATGACTGGCAGGAAATAAAAGTAAGAAAACAAAACAAAAAACAAACATTACCAATCAGGGATCTAAATTATGCTACATAGAACATATAAGCAATAATTTGGATATATCAACAAAGTTGAAATGGTAAATTGGCCACCGCAACGATTACAAAAGCTGACATTTTGAGCGTTAGCCCTTGGTTGGAGCGAATGATGAAGGGCTCCAACGCTTCGATGAAGGGCTAACGCTTGAAACGTCAGCTTTTGTAATCGTTACTGTGGCCAATTTACCATTTCAACTTTGTTGATATATCCAAATTATTTCGTTACTCCCACCGACACAGCCCAAACAGTTTCTTTCGAAACTATCAGCCTTTATATATAAGCAATAAGCTTGGTACCTTTCTAGATATACAATTCCTTCTTTAGAGGTGTCTTACGAATTTTGTAACTTCAGGTAATCTTTTATCCTGACCAAAGAAAATTCTTTCAGCAGCTTTAAAAGCAATGGAATTGAATAATGCAGTAACTGCACGTCTTTAACTCAGCCAGTCAAATAAAGAAAAATCTATTGATCGGAGTTTCCTGATTTATTGTTTAATTACTCTGATGTGACCTTCTGACCATATAACAAATCCTACATTGACTAAAATGCAAGTCTGTTAAATAAAGCTTGATGTATTGTAGCTTCACCTTGGTCATCTATTTTCCCTTTTTTCCCCTTTTTTTTCCCCCTTTTCCCCCCCCTTTTATTTTCCCTTTTTTCCCTTTTTTTTCCCTTTTTTTTTTCCCTTGGATCTTCACATTCGGTCAATTACCCAGAGAATGCTCCTGCTTCCCAAACAACAACACAGCTGATGTCAAAATTATCGACCATTTTCACCCTAGCTAACGTAAGCACACATATTCTCCATACTGTTTTCTTTACATATACAGGTGATACTGTAAGGGGAAAGTTAGACGCAAGTCACGCTAAGCTTTCAAAGGGTTAATTATGGTACCGTGTTTCATCATCAGGCCCTCCATGAGTTTTGTTTCTTGGATTAAAATGGGGTCCAGCACTTGTACAACCTATAAAGAATTAAACATTCTATATGATAACAGCTTACATTATGATAATAAAAATTAAATAGGAAAGACTTTACTTTACTTTACTTTGCTTTACTTTATTTTAAGAGCAGACTGTGCACAGAGAAGGGCGGCAAAGATTGTCTTGAAGACCAAAGATTCAGACGCTGAGAAGAATTTGAAGTTGCTTCCCTTGTCTATGAGTTGTGACATGCTACTATTAATTTATCTTTCAAATGCTAAAGGGATCCCCTCCAATGTTTTGTAAAGATTATTTTAAGGTATTTAGAACTATCCACAACACGAGGGGAAGTGGGAAGAACTTAATGCTCCCCAAGGTGAGAACTGAGACTGCAAGGAAATCTTTTTATTTTAATGAATTCTTTTAATGAAACTTTTCAATGATATTCCTAATGAACTGAAGGATACTCAGTCATGATTTTTAAAACTTGTATTTTTGGAATTCTATAAATCACAAGCTTTTTAAGTACTTTTAAAGTTGGTGACTGTATGTAGGTTTTTGTTGTTTTTGTTGCAGGGCCCTTCCTATTTACATCAGCATTTTATGCTGAAGAGGTCACCCTAGTTAAATAACTTATTATCATTATTGATATTAAATTAACATCAAACTTGTTAAAATTTTCCAGTTTCTACCACCAGAGAGGATTTACAGAAATTTACAACCTACCACAATTTGAGACTGAAAATAGTTACCTAACTATTGGAAAAATGTTGTCAAATTTACTCTTTCGAATATAAAAACAGGGTCAGTGTGAACGTTTCATCAATTCTTTTCAATGGCAGAGATGAACATTACAGGGGTTTTTAAAAGCAAACTACTCTTTTCACAGTAGAACTCTAAAAATTGGAGTCCGAGGTGCTAACCATCAACACCCTGAAACTTGCAGGCTGTTGTGTCGAGTTACTGTAATTGATGATTTTCTGACCAAATAAGGGTTTCTTCTTTTATGAGAAGAGAAAAGGTAAAAGGTGCATATTAAATACATACACATATACAACCTTTATTTCCTAGCTCTCAGATTTAAAAGTAGCTTTATAAAATTAACTAACATCTTTGAGAAATAAAAAAATATCAAGAACAAAACAATATAAAAATTTTTTACATATAAGGCAGAGTCTGTACTGAAGCCAAGTGGCCCATTCAGCTGTAAATTGTC